AGCATATTAGCTTAGCATTTCCGCAAACTAAAAGTCTAAGTCTGGTCAAAAAATAATGAAATCTGTGTGTGTGTGTGTGTGTGAAGTCGTCAGAGAACAGCTGGAGGCCACAGAGAGGCAGCTGAAGGACATCAGAGGTCGGTCATTTCTAAAACACAAACTGGTAAAAACTGCTGAAAAACGTCTGAAGTAAACGTCTTGTTATTCCACAGACGTACCAAAGGTGGCGTTTGCGGTTTCTCTGGGAGGAAACGGACTCCAGAAGAGCACATCCGGAAACAAAAAACTGGTCTACAAAGACGTGCTGACCAACATCGGGCAGGCGTACAACGTTGAAACCGGTCGGTAACAACAGCAGAACACACGTTGAATTGTTGAATTCGGCCGGTTGTCATTGTCCCTGTTTTTCCACAGGCGTCTTCACGGCACCTGTGCGCGGTGTTTACTACGTCCGCTTCACGGCTAACGCTCCCACCAACTACCCAATGAGCGCCGTTCTCTACAAGAACAACTACTCCATCCAGCTGATTGCTCACGAGCAGACGTCAGGAGAGGGCAGCGACACCGCATCCAACGGCGCCACCTTACTGCTGGAGAGAGGAGACACTCTGTCCATGCAGCTGTGGCACCAGACCCAGATCTGGGACAACAGCAACCACCACAGCACCTTCAGTGGCTTCCTGCTGTTTCCTCTCTGATATTTGATCACTGATGTGACGGCAGCAGAAATAAATGTTGAAAAGATTCTGTGGTTTCCTGTGGATCACAATCCAAACACCTCAAAATAAAAAGAGAGAAAAACTCACTGGTTTTGCTCATCACTACAACTCACCTTCACAGTTTATTTCGTCGCTGCCCCCTGCTGTCTGCTGTGGTGTCATAACATGTGTGAACAAAAAGAGAAACTGTTGCTGACTCACCTGCAGAACTTAAACAGGATCTTCTCGAAGACCAGGACCGGACCAGTGCTGCCCAGGATGGTGAGAGGCTGACCTGCGAACACGGAGTAGGCCACGCCCGTCAGAGACGCCCCGAACAGAGACTCTATGGCACTCTACCAGAGGGAGAGGTGGGGCACACAGAGGAGGGGCGGGGGTTAGAAGGAAAAGTCCAGGTTATGGTATTCCATAGTACACCCAGTGGTCGAATCTCTTCTCACAATGTTGCCTTTGGTGGCTTCTCCCAGGAGACCCCCGAAGGTGATGACGGGGGACATGCAGGCGCAGTACAGGAAGAGGACGGAAGCCAAACACTGGAGGCTAAAAGCATCACGAACATCACTCCATAAGAACGGAACTTTTCTACGGATGTCATTGACCAGACCACCGAAAACCCTGAAACAAGGAGCAGAAATGTGTGATGGGTCATAGTCATATTTGACTAATCTTTAGCCTTAGCCTCCTTATGTTTTGATCCAAATTTTAAAATTTGAGACAAAACGTGACCATTGATCATTAGTTATCTCATTTGACTAATAACTATTTCTAGGATGAGCTACAGTAACATAGACCTTTGAATGACTTCACCCACCGTCCTGTCCGCTGAAGTTCTGGTCCTGGATGACAGTGTTCTGACTCCTTCAGTGTGTCAGAGATGTGGGCGGAGCCATTAGGGACGGACGGCATCTTCCTCTTCTCCTGCAGAGACACCAGGTCAAAGGACGTCAGAGGGTTTTTTTTTAACTCACACCCAGGACTCTGGAGACAAAGATCAGGTCCTACCTGTGAGGGGACACTCTTGGGGGGCTCAATGCGGATGCTTGGATCCCACTCCCCTGGAGGAAGAACCGTCACCTGGTCCAGGAATTCGTCGATCCCTGACAGCAGGTCGTTACGGTCTTTGGCCTTGTAGGCCACGTCATGGAAGATCTACCAAGAAGAAGAGACGTTTGTGGTGACTTTTAATTTTTTACTAATTTCTGTACTGTACAGTAGTTCTATATTTTTTCATTCTTCCAACATATATTCTGTTATATATGCTACAAAAAATATTCCGACATATTCTGTTATATATGCTACAAAAAATGTTTTTTTTTGTGTTAGCTACTTTTCAACATGGGACTTTACAAACTGTTAGCTACTTTTCAACATGGGACTTTATTTGTGTTAATATACTCATGTTTTATACAAACCGCTACTTTTCAACATGGGACTTTGTGAGACGGATTCTAATTTGTTTTAGCTTAGCCGTAGCTAATCGATGGAGGTTAATCGGTTTCTAAATCGGTTAAAGTTTAACTAACTGGATCAGGTTAAAAACTGTCACCTCGTCCGTCATCAGAGTGGCAATGGAGCGTCCAATCTCATGATACTGAGGACCTTTTCCAAACGGACCGAGCAGCAGGAAGAGAAACCTGCAGTGGACAGAGAGCAGAGATGGATCAACAACATTTAGGGTCCTGACCCAGATCTAGATCCTTGTGCGGTTCTGACCTGGTGGGAACAGGAACCTCTGTGAGTCCTGTCAGCAGAACAGCTGGAGACAAACGGACAAAGGCAATGATGGGACGCTGCAGGAAGTCCACCTCACCCACCAGGACATTGGAGGCTTCGGCTCCAGGAGGAATCTTCTTCATGAAGTTCATGTCCACCTGAAACGCCCGAGCAGAGAGTTCATTTCAGGAGTGGCTAGAATTAACTGAGTTAGTTCAACGACAGATTCTCACCTGTCAACCATTTAAGGTTATTATGGTAAAAAGGAAAACGACTAAAAGTTTGATAATTTACTGCAACTTTGGCCCAAAATAAAAACATCTGTAGATGTTAAATTCCGTGAGAAAGGATGGTAGAATGGTGCTAAAAGTCAGCCTGGGACTAGTGGTCTAAAAAAGTAAAGATATAAAATAAAACTTTATCAAAAGTAGAATCTCTTTTCAAATGTAAGACAATAATATGAACATAAAAACAGCTAAGTTGCTTTGCTAATAAAATGTTAGAGAAATAAGCTCAAATGTCCTCTGATATTTTAGCAACACTGCTGCGTTGTTACCTTGCCAAAACCCGGGTTGCTGTTTTCTCTGCTGCCTCCGTTGAGGCGAGTCTCGCTGTTTTTGCCATTGTCCAAACTTCCTGGTGCTGACTGAGGAGACACCAGGAGGCCTGAGGAGAGGAGGAGACAAGGAGACGAGGACAGATTCAACTCCAAGAGTCTTTTGGAACCATTGGGTTAAAAGATGATCTTCATGGGAGAAAAAAAAAACCTTCACAGAGATTAGAGGTTACACACTGAACCACACACAGTTAGATTTAAAATCAAAGTTGGTTTCAAGTACAGTATTGTCATACTCCGTTTAGTGCACTTTGAGCGCCCCCTGCTGCTAAAACCAGGAGAGGTTGGCTCTAAGTGGATCTAAAAATCACTGAGTTTCTCTGTGGACTTTGGTCTGAGTAGAGTTTTACAGACTCCTTTTTCTCTGGTTGTTCGACTCTAACAGTCAGATTACTGAGGTCAACATGTGGTGCAGCGGTTATAAACCTTTTATAAACCTTTTATAAACCTTAAAATTCTAAACTGTGATTTTCTGCTCGGGTCTCTGCTGCAGCCTTGTTTGACTGAGGACCAACCTCTCTGTGTCAGACAGCTGGGAATTAGGGAAGGAGGCAGAGGATGAAAGGAAAGGACAAAAGCAAGAAAAAGAAAAGTGAGATGAAGGTCAGAAAAAGGGAGAAGTATGACGGGAGGAGAAGAGAGATCACGGTTCCTGAGGAGTTAAAACTCGAACCTGAACATGTTTTCTCTTCAGTCGTTTCCTGTTTGTTCTGATTGTTCCGTCTCATCAGCAGCTGAACAGTAACTTATTCACACCAAACCTTATTTGAGAGTTAAATATTTGTCCACTCAGCAAAACAGTGTTAGGATTGACAGGAACTGAAGACTCCAGTGTTAGACACAGAGGGACCCATGCGGAACTTTGCCTGAACTGTGCGGAAACTGCAGCTCATGATCTCCCTGCTCCTGCTGCTGCTCCTCCTCCTCCTCCTCCTCAGGAATCCTGCCCCACAACTCCCCTGGTGATGAGCATCTTCGCTGGGAGAGAGGGGCGTGCGGGGTAAGATGAGCAGCAGGGAGCGGGAGGCCTGGTGGACAGGGCTCAGACAGGTGGCGTCCAAAGATGTGGTGGTGTTGGTGGTGGTGGAGGAGGGGGGGGTCGTAGAGAGGGAGGGAAGAGCGACGGAGGACAGAGAGACGGGAGGTGAAGGGAGAGGAGCTGGAGTGGCCCTCCCCTGGAGGAGGAGGAGAAGAAGAAGAAGAAGAGAGGTGAAGAAGAAATGATATATGATAATAGAGGGAAAACAGCAGATGATGTCACAGATGACATCACCAAGACTCACCGGTGACTTCTCCGTACCAAAGTCACCGAGTGTGTGTTTTTACACTTCCTGTGATTAACTCCCTGACTCAGCAGCTGCTCACTAACTCACTGACTAAGAATCTGATTATTAACTCAGCAGCAGTGTCAGTGCTGACTCCACAACAGACAGAAACAGACATAAGCTTCATTTATTATTAACTATTACACTCACCAACCCTCCACTTCCTGTTTTGATCGGACTATTTCCTGTTGCTCAATGTGCTTAGAGTCAAAAGTGAATCTGTGTGCAGCTGAAGACAAACTGCAACAATTCAAAAGCTGCAAATACTTGGTTCTTATCTAAAATAATTTATCCTGAAGTACGTTTTTTAATCACACGTGCAGCCCTGAAAGCGCAGAAACACACGGAAACAGCAGGTGGCGCAGGAGGCAGATTCTCGATGTCTTGTCACTCTGTTCCCTCAACCAATGAGAAGCAAAGAAGAGAAACTGGAGACAAAATAGAACCAGCGCCACCTGAGGAGACTCAGGGCAGCCTGGAGACCATGACGGTTTGTAAAGAGTGAGTTCCAGAATGACAAGAGCGCCACCGTCTCACCGTTACGCTCCAGCAGGTGAGGGTCCGAATATTTCTTGCCTATGTCGGCGAAGGAGCGCACCAGTGGGATTCGGTTACTGAGCTTCTTCTCGTTCTGGTGGTGGTGACGTCGTAACATGGCCTCCTTCACCTTTTCCTGAAGATCGTCCTCCAGTTGACCGGAGGCCAGCATGCTGTCTATCACCATGTCTGCACCACAGCGCCACCCAGGAAGAAACAAATATAGCATTAAAAGGGAAAAAAATGTAACTTTCTTAACTTTCCTGTGCTAGCGTTTAGCCATTTCTACGTTTAACTACTGAAATTTCCTGTGCTAGCATTTAGCCATTTCTACGTTTAACTACTGAATATTCCTTTAACGTGGCAGATGATTGATGTCTGATGCAGACGTATCTAGAATTTACAGAAAAAAATTAAAGTTTGATGTATTGTTTGCTCAGGCTGTCTCCTACTTTCTTTTGCCACTAGGGGCAGCGGTACGCACCTGCTATCTCCTCGATGCTGTTAGCTCTCATGTCGAGGAGCACGGTGCCGTTCAGTATACAGGAGCGAAGCTCAAACAAACTGTGCAGTGACAGTGTGGCCACGTAAGGTTTACTCCAACGCTCGCCGCCATCCTCCACATCTTCCTCAAACTTCAGCCACCTGGGGGCATTGTTCAACAATAAAAAAAAGTCACAAAAAGACAAACAAAATCCTGAAATTATAAACGTTTACAGGTTTATCTCCAGGTTTCTTTGTGTATAGGTGTAATGAGGGGGTGTGTCCTGACCTGGCCATCTCCTTCCACTCCTGGACGTCTCCGTCCTTGAAGGCCAGCTCATCCAGCTCCGTGAACAGGTCATGGGGAATGTGCTCCTCGTCATCATCTTCTGTTCCCAGGATGAACTGGACCCTTTGAGACGGAGTGTCTGCAGAAAACAGACAAAGCTGCACACGTCACGTGACCCGCGTCTTTCACACCTGGGCTACATGTGAAGAGGAGCGGCGTCGCACCGTTTGTGGGAGAGTCGCGGCCATCCTCCTGGTAGGTATAGTCCCGCCTCTTCCGGTGATGTCTGTGTCCTCTGTGTCGGTGACGTCTTCGACTCTGTCGACCAAGAGGGACGTGGACTCCGACGTACACGGCCCTGTGACCTGGACAAACATTCAGAGATCACCAGCACGAGTTACTTAAGTCGGTTTATGATAAGACTCATCAACGACCAACATCGTTTTTTTTTGTCAAGTAGAAAGGTCAAACATTGTTTCCGAAACAGGAAAAAAAATGTATAGCCAAAAAAAAAAAAAAACTGCAAAAATAAAAACTACCTAAATGTTTGTTCACCAACACGGAGCTAAAAACAGTACCTCGAGGGTTAATAGTTTAGCTAAAGTAGGCCTCCAACTGGACCGTGTGAGAAAAAAATCTAAAATTGTCACAGAGTTCATCCAAACTGTCAGATGTGTGTGTGTGAGTGTGTGTGACTTACTCTCCAGTTCCTCTTTTTCAAAGTTAGTGTGGAGGGTGGAGCTGGTCTTCCCCTGGTCTAACACTGCTTCTTCATCATGGCCCTAAAACAAACAAAGAAAGAAATAAACAAACAAACACAAAACTTATTCTGATTTTTTTTTTTATTTCCTTGTCAGGTTCCAATAGTAAAACGTTTCACTAGTCACATCATCATCAGTGATTTTTTTTTAACCTCATTGTCATTGTTTACTACTGTCTGATTCTCCTCCTCCTCCTCCTCCTCCTGATCATCATCCAGACACGTGGACTGCAGGCAGGACAGCTGACGTGCTCTCAAACATAACTGCTAGCTTAACCTTAGAGTAAAGCTCTCCATCCACATGTGACCTGGTTATAGCCCAGCGCAGCTCTAACCAGTGTCAGATTAACAGCCAGGTTAAAAATACTGATCATTAATGAAGGCTACAAATAACTTCCTCTGCAGGAATGTGACGGTGGCTCCGACTCCAGATCTGTTTTCAGAAACTGTAGAAGTGAATGTCTCACAAGTGAAGACTCTTCACGCGGACCTTTACACACACGCACACGTTACATTGATTTTAAGGATAATTAAGTGACTTCACATATGATGAAAACCTTTGTTAAGCATTAATTCCTCCTGAACTGTAGGGTAAGGTTAGGTTCAATTTATTTAGTTCATTTTATTCATATTTTTATTTAACTATAAATTTTATAAAGATGTTTCTCCGCTGAGATGGTAAAATAAATGTATAAAAAACTCTGGACTGAAATGTTGCATGTATTTACTGATGCTTTAGACGTGTCTGATATAAAAGAAAATGAGATTTTCTGATGAAACCTGGGTCAAATTGGGTTTTAACTGGGTTAAAATCTTAACAGTTGTAAAAACAGTATGTAAAACTTTTCAAAATATTTGAATTAAATGCGAGTGCGACAGGAAATTGTGAAAAAAAGGGAGACGTAAATGTGACAAAAGATTAATAATAAATATAAAATGAAGATTAATAAAAATAACAAATATATAAAACATGAATGAAAAGCATATAAGCATAATACTTAACGTGACTTAAATAAGATTTGTTTTTAAATAGAATACATTTGAATCTTCCAAATATTCAAAAATAAAGTGAAATAATATTTACATAAATAATAACATTTAATCACTTTGTGAGATCAACAACAGACGCTGAAACTTTAACAGTCGGTTCATGATCTATGTCTGTTCTCCTGTCAACACTGAGTGCAGGTTTTCAGCCGTTATATTGTCAGAAATGATGAGAATAAGTCAACAAATTTACTGGAGCGGTAATGGTCAGAAAAACATGGTCTGCTCTGAAAGATCTGAGCTCAGATACGTACCAGCGACAGGGCTCGAGCTACTCTCTTACTCGCTATATCTCCCCAAAAATCTGCCATGGTCCCTGCTGCTGCTGCACAGCAGCTGAAAAACAGACTCAGAAAATAAAGAAAAAAACAGCAGCTGCTCAAAACAAACTCTCAGTGAGTAAATACACACTGTTACTGCTGCTGCTCCGAGCACCAGTCTGACAAGAGCACGCACACACACACACACGGGAGGGGGGGGGGGTGTGACGCCACACACACACACACACTGGAGAGGTGGGAGCTGTGACGGACCAATCACAGACAGGCCTGGAAGGAAGCATATTTGAAGCTAACAGTCAGTGGCTTCCAAATTGGAAAAATTAAACTTTACTTCAATAAATTGACTACGTTAAAGTCGAAGAAAAGAAAAACATATCAAGTAATCAAAACTGAAAACAGTCAGTTCAGCGATACAATTAATTAATGGAGTAATGAAAAGGTTATCAAAGCTGTAAACAGTCAGTTCAGCGATACTGTAGGTAGAGATTCACCCAATTAATTAATGGAGTAATGAAAAGGTGCTTCTGCAAAAATCAATAATTAGTAAATTATATAGCAAAGAAAACTAAAGATGTTGACTATTATAAATGAAAATTTAGCTAAAGGGTAACCCAGGAAAAGAAAGAAAATATCAAAATATCTTAAATCTTTCCAAGGAAAAGCTACATTAAAATGGACATTATAGGAAACCAGCTGAACAAGTTAGCAAAATTATTATTTAAATACGTTTAAAAAGGCTTAAAACTTAACCCTGTAATGGCTTCATTTTAAAAACTTGCTCAGCAAGCAAAAAATAGCAAAAATACAAGTATAAAAACTGACTAATAGTTAGTCAGGGGTTAGTAAAATAACATCAAAAAAGTTAAATATTTGTCCTTTTGTTTCATGGAGATAAAGGGCTTAAATGTGTTGTTTTTTTTAAACTTGACTCACAGTTCGAATGATCTCGTCTTCCATCACTGCTGCGTCAGTCTTTGACTCAAGTTTCTTATTATTTAATATTGTTATTGTGTTCAACAGTTTTCAGCTAAGACTTTGTTTGACTTTGGTGACATGTTGGGAACTGAAACCATGTGACAAAGGTGTCTTTGTTTGACACCTGGATTATTTTAATCCCCCTCAGACTCAGGCAAACATTTCCAATTTAATCTGCTTCAAAATTCACTCTGACTCTTTGCGATCTCTCTACTCCAACACTTCCAAAGCTGCTCTCTGAAACTCTGACCTCACTGTTAAAGCTCTGGAGGTGAAGATCATGATGGGTGTCGTCATGATCTTCGTCACCATCATCTTCAACAGGATGCTGGAGGACCACAGACCTCTCAGAGAAAGACCACCACACCGGCTGTCTCAGACTCTGAGGTCAACATCCACAAACAAAAACTGAGAACAGCGTCAGATATGTTCACCCAGGATGTGAGCATCACCTTCTGCTAGAACCCATCTGACTCAGCAGCGAGACCACAGTCCACAGAAAGAATAAAACATTTTCACTCACAGAGACACATGATAAAAATGAAGGATTTAACAAACTAACTGTCTCTGTATTTCAGACTAGCTGTTACTGTAGGGGGCGCTCACAGCACACGGTGCTGACTGTGGACACACACACACAGACAGTGTCAGAACACTCTCTTCTTTATGTTCTTCTTCTTCTTCTTCTTCTTCTTGTGCCGTTTCCCTGCAGACAGACAGGATGTGGTGGAAACGTCCTCCTGAGACTCAGCTGACGTCAACTCTAACCTCCAGAGACGCCGATGCTGCCACAGTGCTAACATTTAACACCACTCACGCTCACACTGATACTCTGTGTCTGTCAGAGTCTTTGCGTTTTGAACTCCTCCCACACCATGTCTCTACAGTTACACTTCACAACAACGCTAACGCTCAGTTACATTCTGGCCTTTTCTCTCCTACTTTAACCCATAGTTTGGCTAAAATAGCATAACTAAATTCACAGCATAGTTCATTTGTACTGTTAGCTTAGTTACAGCAATCCTAGTCTAGAAACTGAACAACTTTTACTTGTTTTATTGTAATCAGGGCACAAACTTTAAACAGTCCTCCTGCGTCTATTACTAAGCTAACGTTTAGGTATTAGTGGCTAACGTTCAGTATAAAAATGTTATTTTTGGCTAAAATGTTATGTGGCGAACATTCAGTATAAAAAAAATGTTATTTTTGGCTAAAATGTTACAATTTCCTTTATATTTTGTCAAACTTTTCTAAATCTTTTCTAAATCTTTGTTTTCTCAAAGATTGAGTAAACTTTAGGTTTGACTATTTGACACAACAACATAATGGACGACAACAACTACGGTTCAGTTTGATGTTATAGTTTAAGTTAAGTATAAATCATATGTTTAGCATGTTGTTTACCTACTTCTAAGTTGACTTTTAGCTATTACTGAGACAGGCTAATGACTTTAACCTTTTTTTTTAATACATTAAATGACTTTGAACAAAAGAATGGCTAAATTCTAGCAACATAACCTTAAGTTAGCTCCAAGCGTTTCTTTTTACAGTTTGTCTAACCAAATATTACAGCGTTTATTTAACCCATACGAGTGTTTCCTTGACAACACGCAGATGTGAAGTAGGCCATTTTGAGGGTGGGTAACTCCGGGTCTATTTCATCTTTATGAACGCCCCTGGGTGTCTCTGCTTCAGACAAACCCTATTCATTCAAATTTAGTTACTTCTGCTCACAGCTCATCAAAACCAAAATGCACGGCCACTTACCTTAAACAAACAGTGACTTTAAGTAACTATATTTGTGTCATTCTGATCTCTTTTTTTTCAGGCGGCGCGGGTATAAAAAGCCATGAACAGGAGTATTGTATAGGAAGGAAAATGCAGTACTATATGAATCTAATACAAGCCGAACGATGAAACGTGTCACCACGAGCACATAACATCTTCACTCTGATGTTATGACCTTTTAGCTGGTGAAAACGGTTTCCCGAACGGTGAATCGCTCATTTTCACAAACAGGTTTCGTAAAAGTTTCCTTCTTAGGACGAGCAACGTATCATCACTTTTCTTCCTGACCAGCTGCTCTTTCGGATGCTAACCAACAGGAAGCTTCTAAAACTTTCTCCGCCGACCTTTTCAGCCCGCTATGAACCGCACATCTTTTTTTCAGAACCGTCACGGAGACCGGACAGAACCGCCGATTCTACTCGTGCTCAAACACGAGTCCGTGGCAGCGCGTGGTTCGTCAGCCCCGCGCGTAAACAGCGGGAAAAAAAGAATAAATTGAGAAAGAATTAAAGCGAAAAGAATCAAACAAATGCGAGAGAACTCACAGAAGGGAGCAGAGGTCTCATCTGCTGCCCGTGCTCTTCCTCCTCCATGTTCCTCTGCTCTCTTCTCATGTTCTGATGATTCTGGTTCATCAACTCAACTGCTTTCTGCGCGTCCACGAGGAGCCGTGCTCGTTCACGACCAGTCTGCCCTGATCCAGGAAACCGCTTTATTGAAATCGCTCTCGTCAATGTTCTTCAGCTCAAAGCTAATTTCTAGATATTTACAGCCGACGTTTCTGGTTTTGTCTTTTGTAGTCAATTTAGTAGCACTGTTACGACTCTTACCTGTAGTTTGTCGAAATTTTATGTTCTTTCTTTAAACATTTGATTATTTATTCCCTGCTCACCAAAAACAAAAAACAAAAACATAAGTTCTTCTCTTCTTTCGACAATAAGTTTGGTTAGTTTTGTTTAACCTGCCAACATTCTAGTTAACATTCTTTCTCTGTTTACCAATGTAGCTTTCTTTTGGTTTGTCATTTTTACCCGTTTTCACGTTATGGCTACAACTTATAGCTTGTTATTAACCACTTTTTTATTTGTTTGTTTGTCTATTTTACCATCTTACCTTTTGCCTCTCAGCTGACTGTAATGTTCATTCTTTCATGAACTGAACTAATTACCATGTTTGCCTTATGTGGGCTAGCACGTAGCTATTATAAATTATATTCACAATAGAAGGAAGTTTAATAAATGTGTACGACTGAAAGCTATGACGTGGATGTTAAACGTCACCTTCGCTTCACCTTTGGCTGAACCTCAGCCCCTCTCCTCTATTCATTTTTTTTTTCAGTTTTGTTTTATGTATAAAAAATGTTCAACAGTTATTGCTTTACCGCTCAGTTCAATTGTTATTAGGCAGAAAGGCAGGAAGTGGGGCAAATAAAAACTACAGAAACTACATTGTTAATAAAATGAAAAGAGGAAATGGAAGGAGAAAGTGTTCATTTTCCCTCATAGTCTTTGATAAAGTCGTCGTGTCCCTGACGTGTTTAATGACCAAATACTGTTGAAAAGACATTAAACATGTTAAACCAGATTCTATTTTGTCACAAGATTGTTGTGTGGTGTAATAAGCAGATCAAACAACAGGGGACTTGGGTTTCCACAGCTCCAATAGCCGACAGAAAAACGCTTCATAATTCTTTATATCTATGTAGTGCCCCCCTGTGGCCAACTTGATAAGGACACGAATTACACCAGAATGTTTGAATTGAAACCCTTATCTTTTTTCATTTTTATTTTCAGAATCAGACATATGTAATTTTACTCAGGTTTAATGGTGTATCACGTGACTTATAATAATAATATTAATAATAACAATAATGTCTATTATTATTTTATTATTATTGTTGTTGTTGTTTCTACTACGACTACTATTATTAAAAATAATGACATTGACTTTAGATTCAATCATCAATCATCGTTCTTCTGAGGCGATGAGGTCAGTGTCAGTGCAGCTGAGAGTCATTTGACTTTCAAAGTGAAAGAAAAAAAAAAACTCCCAGCAGCTCACCTAAACACATGACTGTATGCTCTCTGCTATTACAATTTTTGACCTGTTCTTCAAATGAATTAATGAAATTTTCATCTAATAAAACCAAGGACCTTCTCTCTTCACTGTGACGTTGTGCTCAAAGTTGAGTGAAAATCTTAATCAGTTCCTCTGCTTTGTGAAAACAGTTCCACCTTGCCTACTGATCAGTGGAACTAAACAGTCCCTAGCGTATCCGATGGACTTCCTGTCAAACATTATGTTGGTCCCTAGCGTATCTGATGGACTTCCTGTCAAACATTATGTTGAATGCAGTTCTATAAAAACGGTTCTGTTTGTCAACCTTTTTTTTTTAAGAAGTTTTAGGCTTAAAAAGAAAAGGGAGACGGGGACAGGAGACGGACTTCATGCAAACGTCTTCAGTCGACTTCATTTGACTAACAAATGTTGTCTCATAAAAGAAGCCAAAGAGACGCAGTGAAGGGACAGAAGAAAAGAAGAACGAGTAGGTAAGATTCTTACTTATTTTTGTTGTTGAATATTTTCCTCAGTCGTTGGAGATCGTTTTAATAGTTTTTATTTCTAATTCTAAATCATTTCCTGTTTCTCTGATGTTCACGTATCTCACCAATTAATGTGGCAATCGTTGTTTGTCACACATGCGTCTGTCACTAATCGAATGGAAACATTTCAGAATCCTCTTCAGTTGAATTAAAATGACATTTAAGTGTGCTCGAAATCAGCTTTGTTGTTAAAGTTTGACTCATTAATTCCCAATTTATGCATAAACACCACACAAACACAACAAACAAGTCATGCACACACACACAAAAGTCAGAAATATTACAAATGATCTATCACCAAAAACGAAGGTCAAATGTCAGCGGTTTGATTCCAGCAGCAGCTGAACAACTTTATCATAAAAAATAGAAAAATAAGTGTGTTGAACCTGACACCAGACTGACTCCACCTTCTTCTTCCAGGCGAATCGTTGGTGTCGATATGGTTCCCTTGCTCCTTCACATCCTGTTGGTGGCGACTCTGAGCTCAGGTGAACCGAACACAAACAGAAGACAGACACGGGGCGGCGGGAGCCACTCTGAACCTTCTAGACTTCACCTTGAAGTCTAGAAGGTTCAGAGTTACTTTTCGGTAGGCCTTGTTTTATTGGTTAATCTGGTTCTGCTTTTTCTCCCAGATTGTTCTGCCATCACCCACACGGGGCGTAGGTTTGTTGTTGCATTTCCCGAGAACATTGCCTTCTATCACCCAGTTCCACCTGACAACCGTATCCAGATCACAGCCATAAAGGATGCCACCATCACCATTGAAATGAGGTACTACACTGACATAACTGAGAGCCTGAGCGCTGGGCAGTTCAAGGAGTACTCCATGAACATTGATATGGAGCTGAGCAAAACTCCATCCTTCAAAATGGCGATGGTCAAAAGCAGCGATCTGATCACTGTCAACGCCCTCAGCCTCAGAAGCAGCAGCCTACAGTTGGCGCTGGTTTTACCAGTTCACGAACTGGGAACAAAATACATGATCCCACAAGTGCCTCACATCCCCGGAACCACCGACATCATGTCCATGGCGGTGACAGAGAGAAGACCATTCAAGCTGGTCATTGTCAGTGCTCAGGAGCGGACCACGGTGACCATTAAAGGCTTAGAAACTACAGTATATCAGCTTGAACCTGAGGCCGTGGGCCAGGTGCTGGTCACACAGGAGAACCAGGGTGGAGTTCTGATGTCTGACCAGCCGGTGGCCGTGCTCTTCTCTCACTCATGTGCCATCAGGGACGGCTGTTCCTGTGGGATGCTGCAGACGTTACTGTTACCCGCCAAAAACGACAGCTTCCCCTTCCTCGTCCCCCCTGCTCTGGCCAACGGTACTGTTGGGGAAACATTTATTTTATCCGGTGCAACCTCCAACACTCCGTCTCCTTATGTACCAGAAACACCATGGCTGGACGGATACGATGCGGCTGTCCTCTACAGACCCGGCTTCCTTCTGAGCCTGGTCCCACAGACGGACCTCGCCTCCTGCTTTATAATCAACAGCATTCAAAACATGGAGAACGAGATGGTGATGGTGGTCCACAAGAATCACACTGAAAGAGTTCGCCATGGAAACGCTGCTCTAGTAGATCCAAACTGGCAGCAGCTGACAGGGACGGACTACATGTGGGCAGCAGTGAGTGCACAGCCAAACAGGAACGTGGTGTGGCACCAATCCTCCAAAATGATCCTCTACTTTCTAGGACATTCCAACACCTCTTCATTTGGAGTTCCAGCAACCATCATCAGCAGAATTCCAGGTAAAGAACCGAGGTCCAACTTGAAAGATGTGGAAACATGGTGGAGCAATTTTACATAAAACTGACAGAAACAGTTCCTGGTACAATCTAGATTCACTGTGGATATGAAACTGTTATTCTTTTTAAAATGAAAACTTGTTCAATTTTTTTTAAGTAAAGGTTCAGTAACTGAGCTGCAGGTTGGCCCGGAGCTCATGGTCACTTCCTGCAGTTCCTCCCTGTACAGGAAGTACTTGATCATGTGACCAGTGACTTTGTTTTAATCACCAGTAACTTCAGCGTCTCTCTCCCTCTGACCCTCAGACTTCAGGGGCTGCGTCCTGGTTCCAGAGCGTTTACTCCTAGGAGATGTTGCCCACAGTTGGGCCGCGTCCGTTCAGTTCTGTCGAAAAGAGGGTCTGGATCTGGTCAGCTTCTCCAAGTCTGAAGAAGTGCCACACATCTACTCCATTATAAAGAAGGCGATGAACGGCAGTGAAGACGACGTGTGGATCGGCCTGCGCCGCCGCTCTCAGACTGGCGAATGGTACTGGCTGAACCAGGAACCCGTCGCTCAGACCAACTGGGCCCAGGGCGAACCCGGAGAAATGAACGAGGGCCAGTGCACCATCATGAGTCTGAGCTCGTTCAGATGGAGAGATGAGGAGTGCTGTCAATCTGCACGCCCTGTGTGCTACAAGAGACCAGAGTTCTTCCCTGTGTAGTCCGATAGTCCAGCACACTGGTCCAGACATCCACAAACCAGGGACGTCTGACGATATTGGCCCACCGATATCATCGGCATGATATTAGCATAATTATGTCATATCTGTAAGAATCGTTATCGGTTTTTCCTCTGACAATAAAAACCCTATAACGCAGTGCCTGGGTTTCACCACATGATGGAAGAAGG